GGTACCAACTTAGGATGAATCCATTAAAATGCGCCTTTGGAGTTACTTCTGGAAAGTTCCTTGGTTTCATAGTCCGACATCGAGGGATTGAAATTGATCAAGCCAAAGTAGATGCAATCTTGAAAATGCCCGAGCCTCGTAATACTCACGAATTGAAAAGTCTGCAAAGAAAGTTAGCGTACCTTAGGAGATTCATCTAAAACCTAGCTGGGAGGTGCCAACTATTCAGTCGTCTTATGAAGAAAGGTGTCCCTTTCAAATAGGACCAAGGGTGTAGCAATGCCTTTAAGAGCATTAAATCCTACTTGATGAAGCCTCCGATTTTAGCAGCCCCTATACTTGGAAAGTCGCTGATACGATATGTTTCAGCACAAGAAAGGTTTGTTGGAGCGTTGTTTTCCCAAGAAAATAGTGAGAGGAAAGTAAACTCTCTTTACTACTTGAGCAGGATGATGACACCAAACGAGTTGAATTTATTTGCCAATTGAAAAGTTGTGTTTGGCGCTAGTTTTCTCAATTAAAAAGTTGAAGCACTACTTTCAAGCTCATATTATTCGTCTTGTTTCTAAAGCAAATCCCATCAAGTTCATGATGTCAAAACCTGTTCTTAGTGATCGACTAGCGAGATGGTATCTACAACTTCAATAATTCGAGATTTTGTACATCCCTCAAAAGGCTGTAAAAGGACAAGCATTGGCAGACTTCTTTGCAGATCACCCTATACCTGATGATTGAGAGCTAACTGATGAACTACCTGATAAGGACGCAATGGTCATTGAAGTTCAACCTCCATGGAAGATGTACTTTGATGATGATGCACATCGCGGAGGAGCCGGTGCTGGTGTAGTATTTGTCACTTCTCAAGGTGAAGTTGTGCCCTACTCTTTTATGTTGACACAGATCTGCTCTAACAACGTTGTTGAGTATCAAGCACTAATACTCGGGCTTAAAATGGTTGTTGAAATGAAGCAGTTGTAATTACAAGTCTTTGGTGACTCTCAGTTGGTGATCAACCAGCGTTTAGGTAGTTGTGAGGTCAAGAAACATGCGCCCATATCTTGATTATGCTAAAGCATTAATGGGATGGGTCGGTGACGTGACTATTCAACATGTTCCAAGGAAAGAAAACAAAACGGCCGATGCTTTAGCTGCCCTAGCTTTATCGTTAACCCTGCCCGATCAAACGCAAGTTATTGTCTGCCAAAAATGGGTAGTACCACCGCCAAATGAGGTTGAAGGTGAAGGAAATGAATTCAAGCATCTTGTCGATGTTTCTAAAGCTGAGAAAGAAGATTGGAGACAACCCATTATCGACTACTTAATCTATGGGATACTTCCAGAAAATCCGAGGAGTAGGACTGAAATCCGTCATCGTACACCTCGCTTCCTTTACTACAAAGATACTCTATACAGAAAGTCATTCGAGGGAGTACTCTTGCGATGCTTAGGGGAAGATGAAGCACTCCAAGCTTTACAAGAAGCACATTCTGGGGTATGTGGGTCACACCAATCTGGACCAAAGCTCCACTTTCATATAACAAGGATGGGATATTATTGGCCACGATAGAAGATGCAAGGCTTGCCAATTCCATGCAAATTTTATTCATCAGCCTCCCGAAGTGTTGCACCCGACTGTTGCATCCTGGCCGTTTGACGCTTGGGGATTGGATGTTGTTGGATCACTGCCAAAGTCCTCTGGTGGGCACCTATATATCTTAGCTGCAACTGACTACTTCTCAAAATGGGCTGAAGTTGTGGTTCTTAAGGAACTAAAGAAGGAAAATATTGCAAGTTTCAGCCGAGTAAACATAATTTATCGCTTTGGCATTCCTTAACGAATAATGGCAAGCCATTTGACAATAGGTTGATGAACAAGATTTGTGATCTCTTTGGCTTCAAGCAACGTAACTCTTCTATGTACAATGTTGCCGCCAATGGTCTAGTTGAGGCATTCAACAAGACTCTATGCAACTTATTAAAGAAAGTTGTCTCCAAATCCAAATGAGATTGGAATGACCGTATGGAAGAAGCTCTGTGGGCATATAGGACAACTCACCGCATGCCAACACAAGCGACCCCTTGTGCACTCATTTATGGAGTTGAAGTCGTCTTACCACTCGAGCGTTAAATACCTTCATTACGATTAGCTAGTCAAAAAGGGATCACTGATGAAGAAAATGCTCGACTTTGATTAGTAGAGTTGGATGCTCTTGATGAGAAAATATTGGAAGCTTAACAGAGTCTTGAATGTTATCAAGTTCGATTGTCTCGCGCCTTCAATAATAGAGTTCGCCCAAGATCCTTTCAAGTAGGAGATCAAGTCCTTACCGTGCGAAGACCCATTATTACTTCCCATAAATTAATAGGGAAGTTCACTTCAAAATGGGATGGGCCATATGTCGTGCAAGAAGCTTATTTAAGTGGAGCCTAAGAGCTGGTTGATGCAGACGGCATGAGAATCGGCCCTATCAATGGCAAGTTTTTGAAGAAGTATTATACTTGAAGTTGCAACGCTCCTTGATGCACGAGCCTAAAATGCATGTTCCTACACTCCTGGCCCGCATGAGTCTAAACTGTGTACGGCCCACCCAAAAAAAAGGTCTACTAGGTTGAAAACCTCTAAAAAGGCAGCTTAGGCTAAAGTTAGGACATAAGAATATTAAAAAAATTTAAAAAATTTAAAAAAAATCACCCATTCTGAACTACGGTATGACTTGATCCTCTTCACCGAGGTACATAGGCAGCTTAGAGTTTCATTTTGAGTTTAGTCGCATAATTTCAAAAGATACATGTTACCCCAATCGTTATTCGAAGGGAGAATGATGGAATATAATCCACTTGATTGGAACTTAAAAATCGGGCTTACATGAACTTTGTGCCTTATCAAAGATTGGTGGTTCAATTGGGGCAAGCCACCATAGCAAATTGGCATCTCCGATGGATGGATGTAGACTTTTAGTAGAAGGCCAAATCTTTAATTTGAAGTCCTCAAGTTCGCAGGTCTTCAAGTTGAATTATATAAGCCCTCCAAATCTTCAAGTATGTCGCTCTTTAAGTTAAATTTTGCAAGTCCACTGCCTTTCAAGTTGAAGTCTGCAAGTCAGCCAAACTTTAAGTTGAAGTATTCAATCCCTCCAAGTCTTCATGTCCGTTCAATTTGAAGTCCTCAAATTTGTAGGTCTTCAAGTTGAATTATTTAAGCCCTACAAGTCTTAAAGCCGAAGTCTTCAAGTCTACTAATTTTTCAAGTTGAAGTTTAAAAGTCTACCACTCTTCAAGTTGAAGCATAAAAGTCCACCAAATTTTCAAGTCCGTCAAATCTTCGAATTTGTTGGTCTTCAGGTTGAAATCTGCAAAGTCCGCCAAGTCTTCAACTTGAGGTTTTTTAATTTGCCAATCTTAAGGTGGACGTTTAATTCCCTTTGCACCTTAAGTTGGTCTCTTTGCGGGTTTGTCCTTAAAAAGGAACTATAAGTTTTCAATCTTAAGGTGGAAGTTTAAATCTCTTTGCACCTTAAGTTGGTCTCTTCACGGGTTTGTCCTTAAAAGGAACTATAATTTTTCAATCTTAAGGTGGACGTTTAAGTCCCTTTGCACCTTAAGTTGACCTCTTCGCGGGTTTGTCCTTAAAAAAAACTATAATTTTTCAATCTTAAGGTTGACGTCAAAGTCTTTTTTCACCTTAAGTTGGTTTCTTCGTGGGTTTGTCCTTTATAGGAACTATAATTTTTCAATCTTAAGGTGGACGTTTAAGTCCCTTTGCACCTTAAGTTGACCTCTTCGCGGGTTTGTCCTTAAAAAAAACTATAATTTTTCAATCTTAAGGTTGACGTCAAAGTCTTTTTTCACCTTAAGTTGGTTTCTTCGTGGGTTTGTCCTTTATAGGAACTATAATTTTTTAATCTTGAGGTGGACGTTGAAGTCTCTTTGCACCTTATGTTGACCTCTTCACGGGTTTGTCCTTAAAAGGAACTATAATTTTCAATTTTAAGGTGGACGTCGAAGTCCCTTTGCACCTTAAGTTGACCTCTTCGTAGGTTTGTCCTTAAAGGAATTATAATTTTCCAATCTTAAGGTGGACGTTTAAGTCCCTTTGCACCTTAAGTCAGTCTCTTCATAGATTTGATCCTTCTATATGTTGTCATGAATTTGATCCTTCTATATGTTGTCATGGATTTGATACTTCTATATGGTGTCAGGGATTTGTCCTTTACATGCTGTCATGGATTTGTCCTTCCATATACTGTCATAGATTTGTCCTCCCATATGATGTTGAAGATTTGTCCTTCTATTTTTTTTGCCACGAACTTTTCCTTCTATGTGCGTCTAACATTGTTGACGAAGAAATCTCCATTGCCTACAACAACAAAAAGGAAGCAGCAAAAAAAATATAAGTACAAGAAAGATAGTTACCTGCTAAGGCGTGTCAGATTCAAAAATTGAGTTCAAAGTAATGCCTAGAATAATCTGGCATGATTCTTTACATAATTTTTGGTGAGAATGAATCTCTCTGAGTTTATTTTCTATCAATTAAAATGGTTTCAATTTCGACATTCCAACATCGAGATACAGAGGTTTTGGTGAAGCCGCGATAATCTGAAACTGTTGGCGCGTTAGAATGTAGAGCCGATTTTTAAGTCATCTAGAATGATCCTAAAAGTGTTTAATACTTAATTTTGGATATGTTGTAGATCTTGGACTCTAGTTTCTGATAAATCAAACAGTTTGCGATTCTGAGGTTCCTACATCAAGATATAAAACTTTTGGTGAAGTTGCGATAATCTGAAATTGTTGGCGCGTTAGAATATAAAGCCGACTTCAAAAAATTATCTAGAATGATCCTGGAAGTGTTTACTTCTGAATTTCGGATATGTTGTAGATCTTGAACTTTAATTTCTAATAAATTAAACGGTTAGTAATTCTGACACTCCTAGCTAAAGATATAAATTTCTCAGCGAGAGGGCATAAAGCTGGAAAGCAAGTGTGGCAAACATAAGGAGAGAATTCAAAATAGCGTTTCAAACAATCTAAAAGGATTTTGTCCATGATATCTTCAGGTGTTTCAGAAATCGTAGTTTTCTTTCCAATGGAATAGATGGTTCGCGATTCCGACACCTGTAGCTCGAGATGTGAATTTTTCCACAAGAGTGCATAAAGCTGAACAGCAAGTTCGACAGACAGACCGGTTAATTTTCGGAAATTGCTGCGGCTAATCCATTAGGAATCCTTCCATGATATTTTGCAAATTTCCTTATCTCTGAGTCTTCTTTCCAGTGGCGCAGACGGCTAGTGATTTGGACGTTCCTAGCTTGAGATATATGCGTTCGAATTACATTATGCAGTGCTGTACAGTCAAAATGACAGACTTGTGCATCACTTTCAAAAGTTTATTCCGACTTGTCCTGATAGTATTTGGCCCTAAATTTTGGATATGTCATTGTGGTGCAAGTTTTGATTCTGTAGAGCTAAGCGGATTGCAGTTTAGAAACTTGTAGGTCGAGATACAATTTTTTCATGCTATGAAGTCAAAGTAGCAGAGACCACCAGGTGCTTGCTCGCCGAAGTTGGAAGGCCTACTCCGGTTATCCTCCTCGCCAACCTGCAAAGATATGATAGGGCACATGTTCGCTCGGCAATGATGAAATACTGTCTCTCCAAGCCTTCAAGAGTAGGGATTTTGTCGAGATTGAAAGGATACTTCATGTGACTCTCTCGCCAAGCCGCAACAAAGAGAGTGTTTCGCTGCAAGTCATATAGGCATCTCGTGCATCTCCTTAGGCATATCGAAGACCACTGGTACTCTCTCATAAGCCTTAAAAAAAAAAACTTTGAAAGTTCTCGATGCTAACAACACGAAGTTTCTGTAGATACGGTACCAGCGATACGAAGCTGTTATTATAAAATCCTGAGAAGCTTTGGTTTGGAATCTTTACAAGAATTTTCCATTGGCCACCTTGAAAAAAAAAGAAGGGGAAGTCAGCATGAATATAAAGTGAGCAAAGAAAGGTTAAGATTAGGAAAATAAAGTCAGCATAGAAGCAGAAGTTGAAATCGAGAATCTGCATCTCCGTCCTCGACCAATAACCCATGTGTTAAGTCCCCAACATCACATTCGTCAAGCTTCAATATCGACCATCATTATTTTGCCCGCGATGTATCCTTTAGTTTCATCGTCAAGAAACTCACGTTTATCTCCAACAGAATCGGCGTCACATTCTTCTTCGGTGGACTACGGACAGCAACAGGGATCTCCAACCAAGATACCAGGAGGATTAAAGGTCGCTACTTATTTTTTGCGCAGCATCCAACTTCAGAAGGAGAAGGACGCTAGAAAAAAATGGACCATCACTCCTGCATCCAACGAGGCACACGGTAGCTGTGGAAGGCTGAAAATTGAGTTATGGTACAAGGATAGGTCTGAATCCCTTTTTATAGGCGCAGAAGTTTACTTGTAATCTAACTCAGAAGTAGCTCCATGGGTTATCAAGAGTATTAATTCGAATCCGAATGAAATATGGTAACAACACACGCATTGACGTGAAGTTTGCGGAACCGATAAAATTGCAATTTTAGTAGCTTATCTTTCTCAAGCGGTGGAGTTGTGTCTAATGCTAAGTCTTTAAACCAATTTATGAGAGCAAAGTCCAAAAAGAAAAAAACGAAAAGGAAATGAATGGCTTAAAGCCACGTAACCACTGTGTTGTAACTGATTTACTGTGGGGAGCTGTAATGTGCACTAAAGATATTGATTTGTTCTTAAAATCAAGTGGAGCCAAATTCTCCTACTTACAGTTCCAAGAATGATCTAATAAAGTCCCTATAAATAATCCTAAAGTGGAAGTTGGACATTCATATACGTGCAGATATGCGCTAATTAAACATATGAATTGTATTTGGGACTTTGCCAATTTTTCAAGGAGAATTCCGGCTAATTAATTAACTGTGTGCAATTTTAAAGTGCCAGTTAGTGAGAAATAGAGTCAAGCAAATATCTAAACTATAAGATTTTTGGCTCTACCGGTACTTCAAATTTCGTTTTTTCGGTTGATCAAGTCTACACTTTAACGAACTTTGAAGTATGAGCATTTGTAGGCATATAAATTTTATTAAAATTAAATTCATAAAATAATTTGGACTATATTTTAAATTTAAGATATATTGATCCAAATAAATATTATGGGCTAATATAATTGAATTAATTATATAAGTCCAATATATATATAGATTAAATAATTAAGTCTGAATCAATTGGGCTAGCCCACTTAGTTGGGCTACAAATAATGAGCTCATTTCATTAAACCCAAGATATCATCTTCAAAGAGGCCCAGTTTGGTGCGACACGTGAAATGACGTGGCACACCAAGTCAAACAGAAGAGCCAATAAGATTGTGCCACGTGTCAAAATGACAAGGCATGCCAAGTCAAATTAAAGGGCCAATGAAACCGCGCCACATGTGTAAGTGACATGTTCTGGCCAATCAAATGCGGCATTGTCACACTTCAATTTGATTGGTCGGAAAGAGTTTGTTCTTATCATAACTCTTCCCTCCCACAACTATAAGAAGGGATTTTAATAACCGAAAAAGACACTAGAAGTTATAACAAGAAGCAAGAGGGAGCTCGTGAATCAAACGCTGCAGATTTCTCCAAAAGCTACAAGCATCAAAGTGTTCTAAGTATTAAAAGATCAAGAGGAAGATTCAAGAACAAGTTGCAAGCCCTTGGATTAAAAATATGTCAAGATCAAGATCAGGGTTCAAGCACTTGAATTAAAATAAAATTCAAGATTGAGCTCGAAGGCTCTTTTATTTACTGTTGAAAAGTAGAATCAGAGGAATCATAGAGATTGTAACACTCAAATTACTTGAAATCAAATACTACGATTGTTGCGATATTTTCGGTCTTGATTTTATTTTCTCAACACAATTTATTGTCTACAATATTATCATTAAAAGTTATTGGAGAAAATTACGCATATGATTCATATTGGTGAGCAACTTTTAAACAATGGAATGCAATATGTAGACATCTAATCCATTGTAATTCAAAGATTACCATCCGTTAATAGGTATACAAACTCTCTCGTGTAATCTAATTCATTGTAATACAAAGATTGCTTTTGACTAGATGCATTTTATGAATTATACATCACACGAGAGAGTTTGTTTCTCTCCATCGTGTAAAATAAAAAAGAAACAGTGAATTAATATATCTTAAATTTCTTCTGGAAGTTTACTAACGTAAAGGCATGGTTTATAATTCTTAAATCTAATATATTATAAATTTATCTGAGTGTTTAATTTGTATAGCCATTTTTTTCTTTTTTACTACAAGTTAAATTGATAATCATTGTTCAAGAATTATTTTAAAAATATCCTAGATATTAACTTTTTCTTGGAACAGCTATTTTCGATATGAGTCAGAATTAAGATTAAGATAGAGATATTTCCATAAAGCCAAAAAAAAAAAGAAGAATAAAAAAATACATAAAGCCAAGTCCTATAGAACCGTTAGTTGTTTCGACTCTCAATTGGGCTTGGAAACTATTCTCATGCCCGCGGGCTAGGGCAAGGTCATAGGCCCATCACCTTCTAATAATGAAAAAAATTCAAAAATAGTCAGATTTACAAGTGGTAATTGAAACATAGCCACTGCTTCAAAAGTAATCGAAATTTAGTCACTTCTCATGTAAAGATAAATATGAACGAAAACACTGTTCAAAATCCGAAAAATATTCCAGCATAATATACTAAAGTTCCAGTATATTATTATTGGAACTCCAATATAATATACTAAAACTCCAGCATAATATACTGGAGTTCCAGTATAATATACCGGTCTAACATAATATGTTGGAAGTTCATACACAAGTGCTCCAATCTCCATTATATTATCCTGGAACTTTTCGCGCGTTGGAGTTCCAGCATAATATGCTGGAAGTTCATACACGTGTGCACCAATCTCCAGTATATTATGCTAGACCGGTCCGTGTTGCAGCAAAATAGTGGTTATATTTCAATGACTTTGCAAACGCTTGCTATTTTTGAATTACCAGTCCGAAAACTGGCTAGCTCGTGCTATTTTTACTCTAATAATTAAGGGGGATTTTTACTAAAAATTAGTTGGGTTAGCCTTTTGGGATGGCTACTAGAGAGGAATCCGAAACCAAAATATTATCTTTTTGGACTCAAAGCACAAAAATAGGTGAAAAAATATCTGAGTATCATTTTATATATAATTCGATTTTTCACCGCGCTATACCTTAACGTCAAGGTAGAGCGCATGGGTTACATCCGCTAAATTTGAACTTTAAAATGGCTAGCAAAGTTTATATATAGCACATGTGTAGGAGGCGCTATACGCCTCCTATATGTGCGTTATACCTACATAAAAAATCGGGCTCGTCTCCTTCCCCGACCAGACAGA